AAATGGAATGGCTTATAGCCACGCCGTCTCCATTCCGATCCAGAGGACTAGCCGAGCAAGCACGGCCATCCTTACAGCCCGTACGGGTCATGGAACTCACACCGCTGCCGTTTATACCCGTCGAGATACTATCCAGCGTCATTATAGATGTGCCTCATTTCGCGGCATTCGTCAAATATAAAGCGCGGCATGGGAATGACCGTTACGTGATACGGTTCGACCGCAATGGAAAATGACATGCCGACTACAGCCAAAATAAAATATATGTCTCCAAATTGAGGCTTTAGGAGAAGGGGGGAGATATAACGGTGCATATTCTTACGCACATTTCCGCGGTCGTCCATCCGCCACCAAGTGGTGCTCGACCGACGATTCGCCGGGCAAAAGGCGCTTTGTGCCACTTTAATCTATTACAAAACCGTCTCACAAATTAATTGCGAGACGTACGTGGCGTACGTCCTGCGCCGCGCTGCCGAGTTCGACCGAAGACCGCCGAATTCTCCCGAAGAACAGACGCGCTCTCAGATACAAAATAACACCGGAGTATTCCCGAAATGCTCCAAAACTCTCCGGAGATAAAAAGAGCGTTCGATTAATTAGAGCGGTGGTGGTGAATTAATTATCACCCACGATCTAATCCGAATCATTCCGAATCCGACCGAATATCGGATCATAGAGGTATAAAGGCCATCCTCCGCTCTATCAAGACAGATCTTCCTAGAATTGTGATTTGCTCCTACGAGCCGATCCGCACTCCGCTCCAAGAGACGAAGCTAAGGAAAACGAGATGAGAGAAACCCGCCTCCGTCTGGATATTCTCGAGAATTCCCGACGTCTCCTTTTCAAACCACCGCTTCCAAACGCTAGGAGAAGCATACGAGCTAAGGTGTTTCCTGTTCCGCCGCTTGTTGAACCGGCATCTAGCCGCTCTATTCTAACAACCGCTCGGAAGATGCATCGTCGAAAGTGAGGGCAATCCGCCTCCGCCCGGGTATTCCCGGCCGATTCGCTCTTCTAGCGCCTCCGAAGAAGCGCGTCATAGAGATGAAGGCATCCCGCTTCCGCCTGGGTATTCTCGGCCGACCGCTTTCCATCCACAGGTGCACGCGAGAAATTGACGTACACTCACTAATTCCTCTACTGGCCATAGTTACGCGCCACGACACGGAAAATCAGGTCGATCAAAATCCGATAGATTCACCGAGGACCGCCCGCTCGCGAATCATACGCGTAGACACCGAGGACCGCGTGATTTACGACTATCGTCACTAAGCAACCATAGCCGTGACAATTCGCGCTGTTTCGAATCCAAAACACGCGTGAAAACATTTCGGCCATCGCTGCTGAGTCGTGACCCGATCGAGACGAGTTCGGCGGCATACACACTATATCCTTGCAATGGCATAATCTCACGAAATTATTAGCACGTTGTCATCTTCGCTTTGTCAACCAAATACCATTACAGTATTCTTGTTTTTGTTAACTTTATATTACAATAAACTTTATTGTATACATATCTAAATTTAATCTCAGTAAATTATTTCTAACCGACGAACCCGTGGTGGGCTAGTGAGCTATTCTGCGCTCATTTATCACACCCGATTCGGACGGGGAAAGAAACTAGCTCCGTTTTAATAAAGTTAATAAAAAATTAGAATAATACAAAAATTATTGCGTTTTGTTGGTAATACAAACAAATCCAGTACCCCCTTAATTGGGAAGCAGCAGTTTGGGATCTGCTGCGAAATTATGATCAGATCTGTCGGTATACTTCCGGCATATTGCCGGCATTTTGCTATCTGTATACATTTATATATACATAATATTATATATATACATTATATATATATGTATATATAAATGTATATATATTATATATACATTTATATATACATAATATTTAAACGTAAATGTTATATCACAATCTTATTAAATTTAAATAGTATCTAATATTCAACCCTACTGTGTATATCATTTATATAAAAGATTTGATATCAAAAATGTGGCGCCAAGTTATAGTCTTATTATCTCGAAAGTTAAATATACAGTTGCTTTTAAAAATTGTAAATTAATCAATGATTCGTATCTTTGTATTCCCATTAAAATCTTCTTATTTTAAAACCCAAGTGATAGTAGCTTTAATTTTTTTTTAAATAATGATATAAAATTGCATTTAACTTAATTAATATGTATATCATCTATATAAAAGATTTGATATCAAAAAAGTGGCGCCAAGTTATAGTCCCATTACTTCGAATGTTAAATGTAGAGTTGCTTTTAAAAAATGTAAATCAATCAATAATTGATATCTTTGTATTCTCATTGAAATCTTCTTATTCTAAAATGATAGTAGCGGACTTGGTTAGGGAGCGCATGAGAGAGTGGACGTGGAAAACGTGAGTGTGTGATTTAGATTAGAGATTCGAGTAGAATAAGTTGGCGGAGGAAGGTAGGGAAGTGAATGCGAGAAGAGGGGGATTGGAAGAGGTAGGGAGATTGGAGGGAGAGTGGAGGAGGAAAGTTTAGAAGAGATACAAAGAGATTTAGGAGAGCGTAGAGCGTTAAGGTTATGGCACCGGGAAAGGCGAGCGTGGCGAGTGCGGGAAGCGAGGCCGGTAAGGTAGGAAGCAAAGAATTGAGGCAGAGAAAGTTACTGACGGAGGACAGTGCGAGTGGAAAAAAGGTACCTTTAAGATGACAGGGGGCAGGAGAGGAGAAAATCGGGGGAATGGAAAAACGAATGATTGGAATTTAGGGGAGAATGGCTAAAAGAGGTGAAAGAGTTAAGGGAGGAGATGAAGAAATTGCGAGAGATGGTGGAAAGAGATAAGAATAGGGAAAGCGAATGGGAGGAAAGATTTAGAGATATGGGGGAAAGATTAGGCAGTGTAGAGAGGCAGATTGCAGGGATAAGAGAGCCGATGAATGGGGGGAAGGGGATGGGGAAAGTTCTCGAAGCGGAGGAAGTGGGAGAACGCGAGGAAGTGGATGTAGTAGGCTTAGTGAAAGAGAGGTTAACAAAGTGAGAAAATGGGTAACAGAGAAAGAGAGAGAGGAAAGGCGCAATAATATTGTGATTAAAGGTTTAGGGGGTAAGATAAGAGAAGTGGAAGAGAATAAAATAGTATGGGTAGAGAATTCATAGAGAAAGAATTAGGAATAGAATGTAAGATAAAAATGTGTAGGATTAATAAGGCAGTTGTAATAGCAAAGGTAGAGGGGGAGGAGAAGAAATGGGAAATTATGACAAATAAAAGCAAGCTAAGAGAGGGAAGGGTATATATAGAAAATGATTTATCATGGGAAGAGAGGAAGATACAGGAAAGGATACAGAGATATAAAAGGGAACAAAGAGAAAAGGGGTTAGAGGTAAAGATAGGGACAGGGAGGGTTAAAATAGGAAATGTCTGAAGAAGCTGGGGCGAGATAGAAGAGGAAATAGAGAGAGATAGGAGCGGGGAGAGAGAGGAGGGGGGGGAAAGTAGGAGAAGTGGAACGAGTACAAATTTCGACTAAGCCAAGGAGGGGAGGAGGAAGATGAAGCAGAAGGGGGAAGGGTAAGAAATAAGAGATTAATGTTTTGGAATATAGCAGGAATATGGAGACAGGATATAGAATTTTGGAAATTTGTAGGAGGGATGGAGTATGTGTGTTTAATTGAGACGTGGGTAGAAGAAAAGGGGTGGGAGAAATTAAGATCAGATTACCGACTACGCACAGGTGGGGATGTAATTTTGCAAGGAGGGTAAAAAAGAAAGGCAGGGCAATGGGGGGATTTATTGTGGGAGTAAGAAAAGATTGGAAAGGGGATAATGTAGAACTAAAATGGAAGGAGGAAGATGGTTGTTGTATCGAAAATCAAGGGGAGGGAAGGGGAAAGAGATTATGTATTAGTAGCAGTCTATGCCACGAGAAATTGGGAGGCGATAAGGGGAGTAATAGAAAGGATGGTAGAAGAGAATAAAGAGGAGTATATAGTAATAGGGGGGGATTTTAATGCAAGAATTGGTTTAGAGGGAGGAAATGACGAGGAAGGATGGAGTGTCGTAAGAAAAAATAAGGATAAGGTACAGCAGAGGCAGAGATTTAGTAGATTTAGTTGGGGAAATAGGCGGCAATATCATGAATGGGACAAAGATAGGAGACGGGGAAGGCGAATACACTTACATAGGAGAGAGGGGCAGCTCCACGATCGATTATGTAATAGCGAATGATTATTGTATGGACGTTGTAAGTAGCTTTAAGGTAATAGGGCAGACGGACTCACCACATGCCCCTGGTACTGGAATTAAAAGAAGATGAAGGAAGAGAGAAGAACGCAGGAGAAGAGAGGAGTGAAGAAGAGGAATGGAGATATAGATGGAAGGAGGAGGACATCGAATTATATAAGGAAAGGACAGAAGGGGAAGAAGACGAAGAGGAGAAGTCTCAGTGAAGTAAGTGAAGTCTCAGTAAAAGAAAAATGGGGAGCGGTAAAGGAGTTGGTGAAGGACGCAATGATAAGAGTAAGAATAAAAAGAAGAAAGAAGAAACTAGGTTACAAGGAATGGTGGGACAGGAGTTGCACGAGGAAGAAGAGGATAGTACATAGATTATACAAAGGATGGAGGATAGGAAAGTCGAGTAGGGAAAGATTCTTGGAAGAAAGGAGAAGTTTCAAAGAGCATGTGGAGGAGAAGAAGAGGAAGTGGAAGGAGAAAGAAGAAAAGGAACTAAGAAATTTAAAAAATAGAGGCTGAGGTGTGGAAGGTAATTAACAAGAAAAAGAAGGGAAAAAGTAAACTAGGGGTTGGGAAAAAGTTACTATAAGTAAAGAAAGTTGGAATGAATACTTTAGAAAATTGCTTGGAGGAGAGGAAGTAGAGGAAGAAAGGGAAAGCGAAAAGGGGAAGATAGAGGAGGAGGAACAAGTAGAAAGGGAACTGAAGGCAGAGGAGATAGCGGAGGCAGTATGGAAGCTGAAGAAAGGAAAGGCAGAGGGGTAGCGGTCTTGCTATGGTATGTGGAAGTACGGAGGGGGGAAGGTGAAGAGGAGGTTAGCAGACCTGCTGACGTGTATATGGAAGGGAGGCGGAATACCAGAGGACTGGAGAAAAAGCATCATAGCAACGATTTATAAGAAAGGAGATACGGAGAAAATGGAGAATTATAGAGGGATATCGTTGCTTTGCACAACATACAAGATCTACGCGGAGGTGTTGAGGAAAAGGTTGGAGGATGAGGTCGAGCATGGGACCCTAGTGCCCGAGAGCCAAGGTGGCTTTAGGAAGGGTAGGGGGACCATGGATAATATTTTTTGTGCTAAGTCATCTGGTGCAGAGAGAGAGGAAAGCAGGAGTAAAAAAGAAAGAAGTGTATGCCTTTTTTGCAGATTTGAGCTGGCCTTTGACAATGTGAATAGGAAGGAGCTATGGGAGATACTGGAGAGGAAAAATATCAATGGGACACTAATACAGAGGATGAAGGAATTTATGAAGATACGAGAGCAGCAATTAGGACGAAGGATGGTCTAGTCGGAAGAATTCAAGACGAAGAAGGGAGT